GTCATCTACAGCAGCCATGGCTTCCTGAAGAATTAAAGGCTCTGGTTTACAGTAGACTAAAACAAGATGCTAGCACATGAAAATGAACACACCATTCTCAGCAGTCAGGATGGTGGAGAGAAGCAGGTCACCAGCAGATAAAGCCATTGTGCTTTAAAGTCTGATCACAGCCAGCTTTACTATCATGTAATTTCCCAAACCTCAACAGAGATGTAGCAGCTGTGGTTTCCCCACAGGTTATGACCTACCAGAATCAGAACCTTGAATAAAAAGCACTGTCAGGATATGTTGGATGGGTGGGAATTAAGAGAAGGAAAAGAAAATAAGAGTATCAAACCACAGCAGCAGAGAACCAGTGTCATGACAGCAGCTTTGCTGTTTTGGAATAATCACTCTTGGTAAGCATTGCTTACTAAAGGAACACCTTCCTCAGACTGAATACTAACTAAAGTTAGTACCCCTGGAGACAAATAGAACAAAAGCCTATATATTCAGAATTCAAAAGAATGTCTGTATTTAAGTATTAGAATAATTATTACTTTTTTTTTTTTTTTTTTTTTTTGCATCTGCTCTTTTATACTATAATTTAAAAATTGGATGTAGTAGTGTTTGGCAAGGTCATGTCAACATGGTATGACAGAAAAAAAAAGTAAATGCAGTTCTAGAATATTTCAGCCAAAATAATTCCAGGAGAACCAGGAAATAAGGGAGTGTTTCATACAATTCTATTTTTTAAAGTACCGTTTCCTCTGGGTTATTTGTATGATCTTGTTCTCCTGGGTTTAAATTTAAAACCAGAATTGGTACAGAGAAAGGCTCCTAGGATGAGAAGGAGATTAAAGGGTTTGTTTTACTAGAGGACATGAAGTCTAACCCAAAACGCAAAGATCACAAGTGATGGGAGGAAAAGAAAGGAAACACACTTTGGGGAGAGCAGGGAAGAGAGGGAAAGAGATTAAGGGATAAATAACAGTTGACCAAAATGGTAATGAGAATAAGCTCACAGAACTGGCATAAAAAGGTAACAGAAGGAAATGAGAAGATTCTGAACCACTAGCCCTTTCAGTAGAAAGCTTGGGAATGCTGAAGGAATGGGAAACAGCCCACCAGCCCACAGTGACATGGCCAAAGCCAACCGTTGCCCCCCAGCGCCGAACCTGGGGCTGCCCGCATGGCTCCTGCTTCTCCTGGGCTCATCTTCATAAATAAAAGATTGCTTAAAAAGAAATCACTTTGGGCCTGCTTAACCCACTTGACAGAAAAATCAGGAAGGACTTTCTGAATTGCCTCGAGTCATACTCAGTGCTTTGGAGCTATTTTTGTCACACTTCCACATTTAAAGGAACACTGTTGCATTTGGTAACGCAGGAAGTAATCAATTAGGTTGTTAATAAATGCTTGTAAGACTATGTCCCACAGCCTACATAAATGCTTTCCTTTCCTGTGGAAAGACTTCTAGAGAACCACTGAAGGCAACAATCTCATATAATCCAGATAAATGCATCAAGCTCCAATTTAAAAGTTAAATTTTCTGCTCAAGCTACTTCAGCCGGGAGACTGTTCCAAACATCACTCTGCTGCATTTCAGCACACAGTTACTCACACAGCATTTATAAAAAGTTATTCTTGTAGCAATATCGTCCTTGAGATTAAGCTACTCCATTCCCTCTGCAGTTCTTCTTTCTTGTGTTAACACGGTGCATTTAGTTCCTCCCCCCTGTATTTTCTTGGCCACACAAGCAATGTAGCTGTCATCTCCCCTTACAAGACAGGACCTTGGCCATGCCCTCAGCCCTCCCCATGTCCATTCCTGTTCCAGCAAGATGCCCAACTTGGTCCTTGTTCCTCCTGTCTTCAAAACCATCACTGCTTAGGTACTATGGTTAATAACCTCTTAGGTATTTGCTCCAGTTACAAGTAATAGATACATGACAGAGCTCGGGAGAAAATCGTTATGAAAGCATGAGAGAAGACACGTATGTGTAAACAGTATTATTTGCAAACAATTTTGATAGAAACAAGCAACCAACAGAACAGCAAAAAACCACTCCTGTGAGGTTTTACACCATGATCATTAAAAAGCTGGACTTTGTTAGACAGACTCAACAAAGGTGTTTTTCCACATCAGTAGAAGCAGTTGCACAGAATGGTGATCAGTGGCAACAAGCTCCCAGTGATCACAACTTTCCTGTCTATTTGCTTTAAATAAATAGTGAGTTTTGCTAAGGTAGAATTATACCACAGAAGGGTGTGTTACAGCCTTGGCCAAAGTATAATGCAAATGACAGAATTCCAGGACCTTGGCCAAAGTATAATGCAAATGACAGAATCCCAGGATCACCTAGGTTGGAAGGGACCTTTAAGATCATCTAGTCCAACCACAAAAAACCAAACCAAACCAAAACAAAAACCAAACCACAAAACCACAAACACGCACACACCAACACTAAACCATATTCCCGAGCACCATGTCAACTCATATTTTGAATATCTCCAGGGATGGTGCCTCAACCACTTCCCTGGGCAGCCAATTCCAATGCCTGATAACCCTTTCAGTGAAGAAATTTTCCAAAAGATCATCTAGTTCCCATGCCCCTGCCATGGGAAGTGACACCTCCCACCCTCCAATGCCTGATAACCCTTTCAGTAAAGAATTTTTCCAAAAGATCATCTAGTTCCAATGCCCCTGCCATGGGAAGGGGGCACCTCCCACCAGACCAGGTTGCTCAAAGCCCCATCCACCCTGGCCTTGAACACCTCCAGGGAAGGGGTATCCACAGCTTCTCTGGGCAACCTGTTCCAGCATCTCACCACACTCACAGGAAAGAATTTCTTCCTAAAACCTAATCTAAATCTTCTGTCTTTCAGTTTAAAATCTTTGCCCCTCATCCTACTAAATCTTCTGTCTTTCAGTTTAAAATCTTTTCCCCTCATTCTACTGCCACAGTACCTGATAAAGAGTCCCTCCCTAGGAATTCCCATAATATGGAAATTATTTGATAGAAGCTTTTACACCATTAGCGAACAGAAGTCGTGATGTAAAATCAATGAGATGCTAACAACTAGAAAATAGCCTGCAAATGTTTTGAACCAACCTTTGAACTTGACTGAGCAAAATGACAGACATCTGAACAAGGTGTTTCCCGGGGAGGAGAGAGGGGAAAGCATTGCAATGACTATAGAACTCAGGAGGAGGACACCATGTTTGCCACCTTCCAGCGTTGGCAGAAGTGAACTCAACACACGTACCCCTTGCAGCAACGTCCTCTGGCAACGACTGCTGCTACTGGTGCAAAAATCCCACCAACTTCAGTGGGACCCACATGAAACTCAGGAGGAAAATCCTGCCTTGACTGAAACCAACAGAAATTTTGATAAAGCTTTCTAAGAAGGATAAGACTGCACCAGGGAACCGTATTTCAAACAGCCTGAGGTTCCCCCTCAGTGCTAAATTTTATTAATGTATTAAAAGGAAAATATACCCATGTACCTAACTGGAAAATACAAGCTGACACCAATCATTTTACTGGAAATATGCCAATTCACACCAGCCAAAACTTCACTCCTTTTACATGCTGATGTTACCCATCTTGAAAAGAACTAATTTTACAGAGAAAGTATATTTCTTCTCACATAAATTAATTGCTATCTTTAATGGTGTAATATTAATTAACTGCATACTAAAGCAGGTTGTATAAGCAGAATTGCAACCTCCATAATTTGGGAGTGGAAGGAAGGGGAGAAGAAAAATAAAAAGAGCAAGAGTGAGCTGAAGCCAAGGAATAAATATTCCCTATTAAAAATAACCCAAAGACCTAACAGGGAAAAAAGAATTTTTATGACACCTCACCTTTAAAAGTGGATGCATGTTTCAAAAAATAAGAAAAAACCCTACTACATAAGAGCTGACATATATTCTAAGCAGTTGAATCAGCCTCTTGACATTTAATACACTTGTTTGTAACAGACTAGCTTTTAAAACAAGAGAAGGGACATCTCGCCACACGATGAAGGTCAGTGAAAACCATTTTTAAGCTTTTTCCTAAAATCTGTTGCTTTGGCAGTGGGGGGAATAATTTGTCCTTCAATAAAGGGTCAGTTGAATCAAACCATTTGCCTTCAGGAGAGCCGAACAGGATAAGTGAGCCTAAGGATAAAGGGAGAGTATAGGAGAGCTGGCCAGACAAAAAATAAAAGTGTCAGGGAGGGTGATATTGTGTTACAAAGGGGCTGAATTTGGATGGACATGGGACTCCTCACTTTTCAACTGTTTACTGCTTTTGCTGGCTGTCAGAAGGGATTCTTCATTCAGGTTTCATTGTGAGAGGATGGCTGCAGACACTTCCTCCACACCGCCTTAAAGATTCATCTCCAGATGAAAAGTATTTCCAAGTGCCAGCCTGAATAAGCCTTGACTTCATTTATTCAGAGTAATAACGACATCCAGTGGCCACCAAGGTAATCTCAGCCTTCAACAGCATGATAACTTCTTATATCAGCATAGATAATCTCTTTCCACAAAGGTATAAATAACTCTTTTCTTTCACCTCCAAGTCTAAAAGCAGGATTGTATTACAAGAAGCTTTATAAATACCAGGCAAGGGTCTTCCTATTCAGGTTCCTGTAAAAACTCTAACCAGTTCTATCTGACTTTAAAAATTGTAAATGAAAGATGGAAAAACTCTTAAGAACTTGATACTCAAAGCAACTGGAAATCAGCAAAAATAAATATGTTTCAAGGAAAAGAGGGGTGGGAAAACTTGCATATGCACACACACAGGCTGCTCAAGCTGTTAAAGCTGCTCGCCACGTCTACCAAACTCAGTCACACAGACACACTTTTAAAAGACATGGAAGAAATCACTTTTCATAGTGCTTTGAAATAAAACAAAAAAAAGTTTCTGTTTTCTGCTTTTGTAAGGAACTCAGTCAAAATATGGAAAAATAACACTTTAAGCATTCTTGTATTCTTTCACAGAGAACATCTGTTAAATACTTACTTGTCCAAATATTTCTGGCAGTCCCAAAACTTGACCAGTGAAAACACCAATACAGATGAAAATCGCTGTGACCTGACCCAAAGAACCACGGATTTCCTTAGGAGATATTTCACTCAAATACATGGGAAGGGCACTCAGAGAAATGCCTACAAAGCAAGCAAAAACCCATATATTAAGTCAAATCGCCTTTTCATTATGCCAGGTTTGAAAAAATCATCTACTGAAAGGAGTATGAATGCTAATATGCTCACAAAAATGGCATAAAAACATGCAAAGAACAGAGTGATATTTATCCACAGACAATATGAATTATCTTCTCTGCATGCTTAATTACTCTTGGACCATTTAATAACCATGGGATTGATTGTCTGTTACAGACCTATAGTGATGTGCGTAGGCTGCTATTTGATGAGAAGCACCAAAGGTTACTCGGAGATGAGAATCACCAAGAGAACCGATTTTATGTTTTAAATTTGTTCATTCCAAAGCAAGGAAAATCATGTTAGTGCTGGTGCAGGTAAGGAAAAAAGAACCAATGTGTCATGCAGAGAGAGCAGACACTGTCAAATGAAATATTTTTATTGTATTAGCAGATGTTCCTCTCAATACTGGCTTACAGCTGCATCCTATGAACTCTTAATAGCTGGCATAATATAAGGGTGAGAATGCTGCTTAAACCCAGGAGAAAACAGATGCACGTGATACTGCAGCTTCAAAATAGAACATATTATAGTTAACTGAAGAGCGACACTTCAAAGGCACGGCAATTAGCCATCCTACACATCCTAAGAACCCAAGTGCCATGCCCAAGACACTGTATATGAATATAAACAAGCATACTCTGGGTGAATGTATGCACGTAGGAACCAGAGAATACACTTCAAATGGCAATAAACTGATATAACTATAGGCACTTTTATGCTACATATAGCTTTTGCCATGTTGAGAACTTCCCAACACTGACATATTTATGTCACTATAGTTCATCCTTAAACCCATGATATTAAAAAAATACATTGAGGAAAATTACTTACTACTTATAGAGTTAGAAAAAATACTGGAGCTGCTTAGTACAATGACAATATTTACAAAGCTCCAGAAGTTCGGTCGTTTGGTAGTAATCCGAGACAAAAATTGGCGGTCAGCACCAAAATTACCCATGAACTTTACATTGCAAGTGATGGACACAACATCCACTTTTAAACAACTGTAGTTTGTGCTTACTAACACCACAGACAAAGCTTGCCAGGAAGGGAGCTTAGCAATGCAAATGTGCAAGTATGTTCACTTGTCAGGTAATTACACTGAGAAGGTAAAACAATCATGATTCATCAAGTCTGTCTCCACTTTAGGTAAACATTTTTCACCATCTACCCATCTGTGAAGTTGCTGAGAACCTCACTGCTAGCTGCAGGACTATTCTGGTGCAGCAGCATCTCTGTGATTTATTTTTAAACCAAGAAGACTGTGTTGCTTGGAGCAAATGATGATGTACCAAACCTTCCACTTAATCCTACTGGTAGTAGCATGGGATCCAACAACTTCTAAACACAAAGCAGCTTATATGAACAGACTACACCCTCAGAGCCAAAGGATTTTCATGGCATGAAGACAGATATGCTTTACTGGTGCTGAAGCAGGAAAGGGGGAGGAACAGGTTGGACTGCAGCTGCTAGCGTCCATACCAGAGTCTTCTCCAAACATCAGACCCTCCAACCCTTAGTGTACTGTTTTGTCCCAGTGAAATCAGTGTGGCTAGTGCCTGAAATGCCTCTTTAATGTAAAGAAAGATATAACCGGGGTAAAGGAGAAAGATTATGCATGGCACAAGCATTTCAGATATGAACAGCATGATAAAAAAATTTACCTGCATCAACTCCCATTATAATGCGCCCCAGTATGAGCATTTCAAATGACCCCGCCAACAAGGAGAGGGACATCAGCAATGCAGCTGTCACTGCAAACACATTATTGAGCAGCAACGTACATTTCCTAAAAGAAAAAGATATTTTATGTAAATACCAGCATCGTAACAGCTAAATCCAGTCATATTCAAAGCACGCTAGCCTATTATGCTTAAATATCCATAAATAAAAACAAAAGATGCCTAAGCAACACTGCCTCTTACATGTTGTGTAGAGTTTCAAAATACAACACTATACCCAAATGGATACAGTTCCAAACCTATGTCACAGCTTCAAAATAGAACATATTATAGTTAACTGAAGAGTGACACTTCAAAGGCACGGCAATTAGCCATCCCACACATCCTAAGAACCCAAGTGCCATGCCCAAGACACTGTATATGAATATAAACAAGCATACTCTGGGTGAATGTATGCATGTAGGAACCAGAGAATATACTTCAAATGGCAATAAGCTGATATAACTATAGGCACTTTTATGCTACATATAGCTTTTGCCATGTTGAGAACTTCCCAACGCTGACATATTTATATCACTATAGTTCACCCTTAAACCCATGATATTAAAAAAATACATTGAGGAAAATTACTTACTACTTACAGAGTTAGAAAAAATACTGGAGCTCATAGAAGAGATAAAAATCAACCTCCTTCCAAAAAATTGTTGAAATTAACCAAAATATTGATATACATATTTTTTCCCCAACTTTTAAATTATTTCATTCAAAGCAGTAAAATAAAATGTGAAAAAAATACTTATTTCAAACAAAAGAAATGTAATGGCAAATTATTGCTTTGTTGAAAAAGTAGAAAGAAAATAATGAAAACATATTTTCAAAATTTCAAAACATCTTAATTTCTCATTCACACTATACCAACAGCTGTATTTCTCACAGTTGTCATCCTACAGAACTTTCTGCTCCAGTTTGAGGGACTCATTAATTCAACAATGACTTGTAAGCCTCATAACTTCTGCAGAAGGAAATACTTTACAAAAGAAACAACATGTAGGATTTCATGGGCCTTTGACAATCAGACACTGACATCCAAGGTGTCATTTCCCTGAACACATGGAAGAAGAGGGGTTAAAGAGATAAGATCAATAGCTCTGCTGCAATGATTCTCTATTGAAAGATGAAGTAGAAAATCCACCCAGAACTCAGAGAATAGCTGCTACCTTATACACATCTCACCACAAATACAGATTTAAGTGGCTTTTTGCTAAATTACAGCCTGCAGGTGAATGTCTGGAGAAGTCATTATCATCAAGTTCAGCCTTGCGAGCGACTGAAAAGTTTCTTACAGTTCCCAAGCAGAGTCACAGACAGAGCTGGGATATCTGCTGGAGATGTGGTGGGCTTTCTACAGCACATCCCAACGAGACAGCTGTTTTGCCTTGCTTACAATCTAACACAAGACAAAACACCATAATTTTCACAATTACATAGCAAGAGAATGCTCGTACCCTATGTTTTCCACCTGTGAGTCACCTCACTCAGTTATATGTGGCAAGGCAACGGAGCTTTGTCTTTACCAGTCACATAATTAAGCACAGTCTTGTTTTGGCCCTAGAGGTACATCATAAGGCTGAAGCCTCCAATCCCACTCACAACAACATATGAAGGAACCAACTGGTTTGTAAACAAATTTACCTGGAGATAAACATCACTGATGATGTAAATTATGAGGATTCTATTAACTTTGATGGTAAATGGCACAGGCTGCAAGTATCCCAATTTTATTAACTGAAGTGATATTAATTTTTTAAGTACTCTCAATGGATTTTCAATCTCTATATATTGCGATTTCCATGCAAACAAAGAGCAATGACCAGGAAGGCTGCCTACCCTTCCCTTTTCTGTAGTAAACCCAGCAGTCCTCATTCTTCTTGAGTTCAACATAGAAGAATCAACTGGGAGTCTCCTACCAGGTGAGCCAGTCATCCAGCTTGTTACAACAGATCGATACCATTTTGATAGCGAGCATTTTTAAATACTGTTCCTGCTTTCTAGTATTTTTGAACATTGTTTGAAGATCAAACAATAAGATTTGAAACAGATTTTTCAAATGGATATAATTTGTTAGGGCTAAAGTGATATAAATAATGCCAGAAATGGAAACAAAGTGTTCATTCAGGACAAAAAAATACTACACATTCATCTCATGTTTTACTTTCTTTTTCCTTAATTTAAATAAAACCTGCAAAATATGTATCTTTCTAGAAAAAGTGGGCCAGCGACCCCTTATTCTATGCAGCAAAGAACAGAGAAGCACAGCCTAACCAACCAAGATAAAAAGAAAAGTTATTGTCTTTGCCAAATTGAAAAAAAATGAAAACAATAAAGTAATACACTGTTTACAGTATTAATATATAAAGCATGTAGATTTTTGGTAATGAAAAAAGCTGTGCTGGGTGACTGTACCAAGGTTTTGGAAGGGAAGGGGCAGCAGGGGTGGCTTCTGTGAGAAGATGGAACAAGGGAGTTACAAGGTCAGTGGAGGAGAAGGTGCTCCAGGACTGATGAGATCCATCCCCAGAGGGACTGTGGCCCATGGAGGGCCAACCATCAACCTAACACCGACAAAAACACCACTAAGCCATGTCCCTCAGCACCACATCTACCCATTTTAAATACCTCCAGGGATGGCAATTCCACCACTTCTCTGGGCAGCCTGTTCCAGTGATTGACAACTCCTTTGGTGAAGAATTTTTCCCTAATCTCCAATCTAAACCTCCCCTGGCACAACTTGAGGCCATCTCCTCTTGTCCTGTTGACCGACCGCCAACTCTCTACAACCTCCTTTGTAGTGATTGTAGAGAGTGATGAGGTCTCCCCTCAGCCTCCTTTTCTCCAGATGAAACAACCCATTCCCTCAGGAATGTACCTTCCAATCCTGTACTCAATCGGAAGTACTCCTGAGAGAAGATCCATTTGCTCAGTAGAAATAAGTTTCTACAAGCATCCCAGCTGAGAGAGTTTACCCATCAACTAAACACAAATAGAGCTAAAATTTAAGGATTTTTTCTGCCTTTTTCATTTTTAGGTATTTTGGATATTGAAAACACTTGAGAATCTCTTCTCTAGAATTGTCCTTGGCTTTTTGCAAAACCAGATATGATTAATCTCTTCTGATTTCAAGGTTGTCATATGCTCTCGTGATATTGGATAGTTCCAGAGGCCAGGACATAATTCTAGCGACGATGTGCCCTCCACAGCTGCAATAACTTTAATTTGGGATCTGAATTAATAATCTTTTTGTTTAAAATTCAAAACTAGGAAAATGATAGAATTAAAGTTTTATCAAAACTGTATTGTCTCAAAATTAGACTCTAATAAGAAAGACTCCAGAACCTTCATTTGGGAGCAAATATACCTTATACAGAAAGTATAGTAAGGAAACTAGGTTTTCAGATAACAAGCTGTATGTTCTTTAAACTAGGTGTTCAAATAAAAGCAGTAACAGATTGAATACTGGATCACCATTTCAACTACAGCAGATGATTTCAGAGTAACGAAGTGGTAGGGTTACTAAAATAAACCAGATGAATTCCCTTAATCACTTCATGCCGAAAATGGTTCACTGCGCTTGAGGGAAGGCCTTGTCCCCCTCCTGCAAATGCCTTCCTAGCAGTGGCCTAAGCAATCCACTGAGCAGATCACTCTGGATGTTCAGGATACACAACAGCAGTTGCTCTTCAGTAGAAGAGAATACATATGAAGTGCCAAAGCCACATTGAATGTGGAACTTACGCTTACGTGGATCAAAGCCCTCTGAAAACATTAGTCTACATCTCTCTTGAAGTAAATAGGGCCTAGGCATCTGGTAATTTGAAAATTATGTTATTAACCTTACAGCAATATGATTCGAGAGTGCTCTTTTTAAAGCCATACATTATTTCTGACTAATGCTTTTGATCCCCCTTAGTTCATTATTTTCTGTCAGTGTAATGGAGCTCCGCTTCATCATACATACAACCCTCCCACCTACACTTGAACAATTTAACAGTGGAGTATTTTATTGTTCTGTCAACACTTCGTAATGTGCTCCTCAATTACCGTACCGATATGTCAGTCTGGTTTCCTGGACCAGACGAACACACTGCAGCGTGAACAGCGAACTCAAGAACCACACTCGGATGAGCAGCCTTTATCCAGCATCCCTGAGAGATGAAATCCCTTCCCATCTCTAATCAAGTACACATACACCATATCTATGAGAGAGCTGTTTTCACGGTTTAACTGGGATAAACACAATAAACAGGGCCAGAATCTGCAAGATGTAAAGCCCTGGAAATATCATATGCTCCCACCAAACTGAGATCAGATACCACTTTAACGAACCCCCACACAAAGCTGTTCTACTCTTCACCAAAAATTCAAGCTTTCTATGAACCTATTTTTCACTTCACTTTTTAATAAAGTAAAGAAGACTCAGTGACAAGTCTGGAAATCAAACAGTTGGGCGTAGTTTCATATATTTAAGAAGTGTGTAAAACCCAAACTGACAATTTGACAGAAGATTGCAAACCTAAAAAAAAACAAAACGTGACTGAAATATACCTAAGAATTTAAAATCAAATGGTGAAGGGACAGAACAAAGTAAAGAAGAATGGATAACTGATTTACAGAGCAGAGAATAAGTACTGACTCGCTGAAAGCATGAAATAGAAGAACCTGAAAACATACTCTTTAAGGTGAAAAACGGGATGTGGAAGAGTTGAAATAATGACAGACAAGTCTAGGAGAGTACAATCTAAAGGGAGGGAAATAGTCAAAATGTAGAACAGAAAAGTAAGAACAGTGGAGGTGAATGCTTACATTTAAGCCACTGTGATGACTTTCTCCAATAATTTAACTGAGTAAAAATTATCAAATTATACAGAATTTACAATTAAAGAAAATCTTAGGATGAATGCTATAGTTAGGATCCTTAGTTAGGATGAATGCTATAACAGCTTTTTTTTTTTTCCCATGCCCTTCTAAATATAGGTAAATATAGCTTTTAAAATTCTCTTTGGAAGACTGTATGAAACAAAAATCTGACAGAAATATCTAATTAGTACCTGCAGCAAAAATGCAAACACACACCAGCACAAACATTCCTAAAGTATTCATATTCCCTATTGTCAAGACTTGCTCAAATACTGCATTACATAGAGCAGGAAAGACATCCCTAAGCTTGGGGAAGACCAAACACAAACATCATCCTGGTTTAGTTCTTCAAACTGTATTTTAAGTTGACATAAGGAAGAAAAAAAAAGAGCAAATTTTTATTACCACATGACAACATATGTTGAGAAGCAAATGAGACATGCTGATAGCTTTATTTGTGTACAGTGAGATACTCAGCAGACTCATGAAACAAGAATCTGCCAATCCTTTGTGAAATTTTCCCAATTTTGTGGTATTTTCTTTTTGCACTCTTGACAATTCAACATCCTTAACATCCCAACACACTGCCCGTTCAGAGCAAATTGCTTGTGTGACTCGATGCACAGTAAGGCCAGACAGAAAGATACTGACTTTACTCTTGGAAATTCAGAACTTTTATAAATGAGCTTTCATAATTTGAAGATGTTTAAATTTGCATTCTGGTGAAGAGGATTTTTATTTAAAAAATAATAATGAAACCTTCTAGAGAGACTAAGTGAGAAAACGCGTTAGAAAATAAATGTTTTCCAATACACTTACCGTCCAAAGAACTTCACAATTGGGGTAACAATAATGGCACCCACAAGGCCACCAATGGCAAATATAGAAACTGTTATGGACCAGAGGAGAGTCAGTGTGCTTTCATCTACTGAGAAGCCGTATCTTCTTTCCCAAGTTTCATTGTAAAACTTCTTGATATACTAAAAGAAAATACATAGTAACAACAACACATGTTAACAAAAAATAATGGCACTTTAAGAACACAACTGAGTGAAACAGAACTTAAAAAAAGCCCAGTAGCTTGCTTGCAGGAATCACCCTCCCTCTTCTACCTCCCTCCTCCAAAAATGCAGCCTCTAGATGCAATTGCACCACAAACTGAACCAGTCAATGCACGCACACATTTAACTACATGCCAGTCATAAACAAGGTAGGTAAAAAATAATAGGTAGACATGAATGTAGAACGTTGATAGTTTTGGGTATGTGTGTGCAAGTTCACATGTAACTTAGCAAATTCCCTGGAAAAATTTTAAAGACGCTTTAAAAATTATAGACATAGGAATCCTTTTGGCAAAACCCTACACTGTACTCACCATGAAACCACATTTATCATTTCTATTTTGTATTTTAGTCCCCGAATGCAGATCTCAGAATTGCTCAAATTAAGTGCCTCTCACTAGTCTATTTTTTCCAAAGGGAAAAAGTAAGTGATTATAAAAGTAAGTGATTCTACAAATTCTTTAGCATAACACTAGCAGAAAAACACAGAGAAAATTGGAAACAATTCACATGCATGGACTGAGGGAAGAAGGTAGGCTATGTCCACTTTTGCATTGTATTTATGACACTGCCACATCTGGCAGCCATACAAAATCAAGGACCCACTAAGCCAAGCAATGAAAGGTAACATCTTTCTCCTAAAGCATTTACAGCCAAGACAAATAAGAGCTGACAGCTGTTGGTTTCACACTGATGGGGGTAAAAGAAGCCCACAGTACCAGTCAAAAAGAGCTAGTTGTCTGACACCGTTAAAATTAAGAACCCCAAATCACTTTTATATGTATGTTATAGCCTCTCCCCTTGAAATTTACATAAGCTGCTTTTTGAACGAAGTTCAGGTTGCTAAAGAAGGTAAGCAATTTCTTTTCAGTAATGAAAGATGTATCAGACAAAATCAGACACCTAAGACTCTGATATGAATGTATCTGCCAGACAAGCTGGTTCTCCTAAGAAATGAAAACCTGAGACCTATCTTCTAACTCTTCAGCTATCCTGAGACCTATGCTTTTCTACAATGGCAGCTTATTTTCCCTAACACCCTTCCATAAGGGCCCTTCCAGGGTATCTTTTGAAACTCTGAGTGCCTCTTGAATCTCTGGAGAACTCCAACAAGATCCCCGAGTCACGGTTCTCCTCTGCAAAAGCTATGCCAGCTCTTACCCAGATTCTCACTTTTCTACTACAGTTTCTGCTAGTTTATCAGGTACAAATAACTAATTCTTAGCAGGTATGTTCCAAGTATTCCCCCTAAACTACTTTTTTCTTGAAGTCATATTAACCTTCTCAGTGTTACTGTTACTGAGGCTATTTTAAAAGAATCTGAACTGTGATCTGAAGCCTATATTTTGACTTATTTTTTTCCATCTTGAACAAGTGTTAAGGTATTTTAGCAACCTGACACAAAATTATCACTGATTTTATTCCATATCTCTATTGACATTTCTGCTTCTCCAATGCAGAAGGTTCCAGCATGGGACTTTCTCAGACTTCTCCAATTCAAAACATTAATTCAGGTTCCTTGTTCTGTTTTTGTATTGTCTTTTTCAGCTTCATCTATCAGCCTTATATCCCCAAGCCCTCTGTCTGGACACCTTTTGTGCCTGCTGAAAGTACTCCAGGACCAGCTCACTTTTTTAGCCTTCAACGTCCCAGAATTTATACTCTTTTTCTGCTTTCCTCACTCAGGCACAACTGCAGGTTTTTGAAGGATGCCTTCTAACAACTTCCCCTCCCTGATGTTTTATTACACCAAAGTTATCTTTCTAAAAGGTAAAGATGTCATAGCATGACACTTTAATGCAGTCTCTCTATTGCTTGCAGAGATATTGCCTATTTACTTTCCTTTTAGACAAAATTCCTCATTTTTATGCTGTTCCCATTTTGTAATCAAGCAAAACTCTGATGCAACCGTGGTGTCTGGTGGGGACAGTGAACAGGCGGTCACTACTGCAGAAGGGCACAGCACACTCATGTAATGCTCTCACTTGTCCTAAGTCACTGCTCCCTGACAAGCTGTACAGTATCACAAAGTTTAATCTTGGCACTTTTCCCCTGTTTCTTCTCAGATTTCCTCCAGCATGTCATAGGTACTAAATTATCCTGGGGCAGCACTCAGCAAGAGAAGCTTAACAACACACTTTCCCTGTATAAACTAGGAACTTCAGACCTTAGGTATTCCAGCCTTGGACACAGGGACTATTCAATTTGAGGACTTTATTTAGTTTGAAACACCACCTCTCCACCTGCAAAGCACCTAAGAAAGGTGGAGGTAGAACATGCCACTCACTGTCTTCCTTCTATCAAGTTTGTAGTAGGTCTCTTGTGCCTTGAACTAAAAGGAGGACAGGGATACGTCTCCCATCCTACCTTACATGTTTCTATACAAAGAGACAGAAAAAAACCCCAACAAAAAACCTAAAAAGTAAATTTGGTGCTTGGTCCATTTAGAAGAATCTCACAGTAAACTTCCAAATGAATCTGCCATTAAATCAAGTAATACATCTTACCTCTTCAACAGCAATACTCAGACTATATTTAGATTCAGATATCATCTTGTTTATTTGAAGTTCATTTCTGATAGTAATGAATACTAAGAGAACACATTTTTAGAACACTATTAGCATTTCTTGCTAATAATGGCTAAAAATAGCATGCAAATTATTCTCCCCTTGTGCTATGACTGATTTTCTCAGCATAGCTTTGTTATTTACAAGGAGACATCAAATAATTGCAAATAGTCAAGAAAAAAAAGTACAAACCACAACACTCAATAGTAAGATAAGTGTACTGGCAAATACATCACCTGTGTCTGGATTCCCATTGCCAATAAATGGGAAGCTAATAACACAAAGGGTTTGAGGAGCTGCACATGAAACAAAACAAATCTAATACAACAAATCCACTGGATTCGGATCCATTGACTTCCATGGAAAGGTTCCTTTGGGATTTTAATCAGTTGTCTGAACAATGCTAATGGCATAAATCTGTATACAAAAGTTTTTAGCCTCTAACAAAAGCCTACAAGGAATGGCAGCTGACTGATATCAGTATCTTGTATTCTGTGGCCTCAGTTCACTTAGGTAGTAGTGGGAAATATACAGGATATATATATATTTATATTAATAAATAGAAGGGATATATTTTAAATATAAGGGAAACATTTTCCTTGTCTCTTTAACTGTAAACAACTTACATCAAGGGAAGAAATAAACTGGTCTTTAGAGAAGAAAAATGACCTTAGCCATAGTGGCAACCGTGACTCACACACAGTGACAACTATCTAACTGGCTGACACAGCAGGCTATACATTTTTGTAATGTATAAAAAAAGTCTTGCTTTCTCCATATCAGCTCTAAAAGGAATGCAGAGCTGCAGCCACCCACAGGATGGGGGCAAGGGCTGTGCATCAGTAAGTGGCAGAGACTTCACTTCCCATGTGGAGCACAAAGGACATCATTGTTCTACAGATCTTGCCCACAACCAGTCCGAGGAGTGAACTATAGAAACTCAGCTCAGAAAAAGACAGCTTCAGCTGGGATTCAATTAAAGCATTCGTCTTCCTACTGCCAACTGCTCCCATGCATTTTTAATAAATTCTGGTAACTCTTTGAAAAAGCCCATAGACAATTTCTAATTCAGGGTTTTTTGTGTGCTGAAGCGCTGTGCACAGGGGAAACACCTGTGACAGGTCACTGCTCTTTCCCACTGAAAAGTAAGGGACTGAGTGGGAAGCAATCTCTGCTCTGAGCAGAGCTGGTGCAGTTTATTCACCTCTTGCAACAAAAAGGAAGTTGGACCAACTCTACCTTAGGAGATGACCTGCAATAAGTTCACCGGTGAGAACTGCAGGGGTATTGCCCTGGAGACTGATGAACTGGCATCAGAAAGGAATCGAAAGGAAATGTGCACAAGAATTTAAGTTCTTCAATGCTTCAGTGTCAAATGAACTCCACCCAACTCAGTCATCGTGCTGACGTGCTCAGTTTCAGGATCCTGGAAACATCCTGTGTCTTCGTCAACAGTCATCATCAAGCATTTTTTCAACAACTCTCAAAGCATCACGCAGTCCTTCTCTAAGGTTGGAGGACTTCGGACATCAAAAGGAATTATACTGAAGTAAGTAGGGGCAGCCAATACCCACCATCCTACAGAGAGATAGATGCTCGCACAACCCAGGCTGCGTGCCGCAAGTCACCAGAACAAGTTACTTGTCCCACCAAGTTTATAAATGAAAGTCAGCTTACAACTTTTAGGAATTACTGAACTGCCAAATAATCTCTTATGAGAGTGCTGTTTATCTACAGCTAAGAGCTGCTCCCCTTCGGTTTTCCTCAGTCACCCCCTTCTATCAAGTTTGTAGTAGGTCTCTTGTGCCTTGAACTAAAAGGAGGACAGGGATACGTCTCCCATCCTACCTTACATGTTTCTATACAAAGAGACAGAAAAAAACCCCAACAAAAAACCTAAAAAGTAAATTTGGTGCTTGGTCCATTTAGAAGAATCTCACAGTAAACTTCCAAATGAATCTGCCATTAAATCAAGTAATACATCTTACCTCTTCAACAGCAATACTCAGACTATATTTAGATTCAGATATCATCTTGTTTATTTGAAGTTCATTTCTGATAGTAATGAATACTAAGAGAACACATTTTTAGAACACTATTAGCATTTCTTGCTAATAATGGCTAAAAATAGCATGCAAATTATTCTCCCCTTGTGCTATGACTGATTTTCTCAGCATAGCTTTGTTATTTACAAGGAGACATCAAATAATTGCAAATAGTCAAGAAAAAAAAGTACAAACCACAACACTCAATAGTAAGATAAGTGTACTGGCAAATACATCACCTGTGTCTGGATTCCCATTGCCAATAAATGGGAAGCTAATAACACAAAGGGTTTGAGGAGCTGCACATGAAACAAAACAAATCTAATACAACAAATCCACTGGATTCGGATCCATTGACTTCCATGGAAAGGTTCCTTTGGGATTTTAATCAGTTGTGTGAACAATGCTAATGGCATAAATCTGTATACAAAAATTTTAGCCTCTAACAAAAGCCTACAAGGAATGGCAGCTGACTGATATCAGTATCTTGTATTCTGTGGCCTCAGTTCACTTAGGTAGTAGTGGGAAATATACAGGATATATATATATTTATATTAATAAATAGAAGGGATATATTTTAAATATAAGGGAAACATTTTCCTTGTCTCTTTAACTGTAAACAACTTACATCAAGGGAAGAAATAAACTGGTCTTTAGAGAAGAAAAATGACCTTAGCCATAGTGGCAACCGTGACTCACACACAGTGACAACTATCTAACTGGCTGACACAGCAGGCTATACATTTTTGTAATGTATAAAAAAAGTCTTGCTTTCTCCATATCAGCTCTAAAAGGAATGCAGAGCTGCAGCCACCCACAGGATGGGGGCAAGGGCTGTGCATCAGTAAGTGGCAGAGACTTCACTTCCCATGTGGAGCACAAAGGACATCATTGTTCTACAGATCTTGCCCACAACCAGTCCGAGGAGTGAACTATAGAAACTCAGCTCAGAAAAAGACAGCTTCAGCTGGGATTCAATTAAAGCATTCGTCTTCCTACTGCCAACTGCTCCCATGCATTTTTAATAAATTCTGGTAACTCTTTGAAAAAGCCCATAGACAATTTCTAATTCAGGGTTTTTTGTGTGCTGAAGCGCTGTGCACAGGGGAAACACCTGTGACAGGTCACTGCTCTTTCCCACTGAAAAGTAAGGGACTGAGTGGGAAGCAATCTCTGCTCTGAGCAGAGCTGGTGCAGTTTATTCACCTCTTGCAACAAAAAGGAAGTTGGACCAACTCTACCTTAGGAGATGACCTGCAATAAGTTCACCGGTGAGAACTGCAGGGGTATTGCCCTGGAGACTGATGAACTGGCATCAGAAAGGAATCGAAAGGAAATGTGCACAAGAATTTAAGTTCTTCAATGCTTCAGTGTCAAATGAACTCCACCCAACTCAGTCATCGTGCTGACGTGCTCAGTTTCAGGATCCTGGAAACATCCTGTGTCTTCGTCAACAGTCATCATCAAGCATTTTTTCAACAACTCTCAAAGCATCACGCAGTCCTTCTCTAAGGTTGGAGGACTTCGGACATCAAAAGGAATTATACTGAAGTAAGTAGGGGCAGCCAATACCCACCATCCTACAGAGAGATAGATGCTCGCACAACCCAGGCTGTATACTGCAAGTCACCAGAACAAGTTACTTGTCCCACCAAGTTTATAAATGAAAGTCAGCTTACAAATTTTAGGAATTACTGCACTGCCAATATAATCTCTTATGAGAGTGCTGTTAATCTACAGCTAAGAGCTGCTCCCCTTTGGTTTTCCTCAGTCACCTCACACCAGTATTCCCAAAGGGTCACCTTGCAGCAGACCGATTTGGTGACATTCAGGGGAAAAGAGATGGAGCAAAGGTTCCTTTTCCTGTGCTGCAAGAAGCACAGCTTTGGTACAGCTTGCTCCTCCCCACCATGGTTACGAGCACAGGAGAACCTTCTTCCCTTCATCCTTTTTGTATTTGAACATGCACTGCTATGTATGCCTTGTCAGTAGGACCTCCTTAGCTCTAGCTAACGCATGGCTTAACATGAATAAGACAGATACAAAGTTCTCAATCAAACACTGAAACACCATGCTGGAAAAAGGGAGACTTCACGTATACCTGTCAACAGTACGACCAAACCCATCCTCAGCGTGGTACCTGGTTTCAGTCCAAAACCAACAGTAAAGATTTCAAGCAAAAAAACCCAAGACAATCCTGGGAGCGTTACTAACCATGACATCTGGAGTTCCATCATTCATCACGGTAGGGTTGCACCTGCAACCTCTCCACCAGCACTCTGGTCACCCCTGTGATCTATGACATTGTTCAAACCTAAGTGTCTGAGCAATGCCGAACAGCACATCCTGTCATCCTTTATTTCCTTTACTCCCGCAGAAAGCCACAGGAGAGCTCTGATTACCAGGACAGCCCATTTTTTAGATGGCACTTAAAAGTTTAGAAATCGGATCATTCTCACTGCTCTGTTGACAGTACCGAGGCAGTGCAGGAAGGATGTCTACCATCAGGACAATCAATACCATTGCTCACAGAATTTCAGCTTACTGCTGATTTCCTCTAAGCCTTGTTTATCTTCTCATGACTGCAAGGTAAAGTGATGCCTAGACATGTCATGCTACAATAAATATCCAATTTGTCCCATCCTGTGTTATTGGTACAAAAATACCAGAAACTTCAAGAAAATTTCCACAAGTTACAAAGGCGGCAATTAAAACTTCCCACAGGGTGAGTCTGTTCCTTGTCCTTTAGGTCTCAGTTTACCAAATAAAATACCCACATGAAAAATTAAAAGAAAATAATTCTTCTTGCATTATTTGCATCCATCTTTAATGTGATGTGGCCAACCTGTTAGGTGGAAACCTAGCCACACATTTTAATAGGAGATTTCCATAAAAGAAGCTTAGCTTTGGAGCGGAACTACTTTGAAATGGAATTTCAACAGTTACTTCCCAAAATTTACTAGCTACTTTTTTGAAACAATGTTGCTTTCGGCTCCACTCGACTGCTGTGCTTGACTGAATTAATTAAGAGGAACTCTAGAGGGCCATTGTGAAAACAAAATGTTCAGATTTCCATTTGTGATAACTGATATCTTAATGAAATCCCTCCAAACATTGTACACTGATTTCACAGCACTCTACTCATCAAATCTATTCCATATGTTGCAGCCAACACACATGGTCAACACAGCGGTTTCGAGTTCAGAACCAAACAAGGCCTCACCGCGAAAGGCAGACGAGGCCCATTATTTCAGAGGAAGCCAGAGGCATCACTTGTATAATCAGCGCTGCAGGAATGACATGTTGTACCACCCTTTGGAAGTGAACAAGCTGAAGAGAAACTGCTGAACACGGGCACAGAGCTACCAAACACTCACCAGTCAGAAGAGACAGATTATTAATAAATACCTTTTCACACAAAAGCCTGCAAGAAGACTGAGTGTTAGTCCAAGCTTGGGGAGAATGAGAAAACCTCACCTCAAGAGCAGCCTTTAGCTTCCTGACAGCTACTGAATTTAAGTGGAAACCTCACAGACAGCAGATAGAAGCTTTTCAGGCAAAGTACGAGATTTAACCCCTTCTGCTACATGGGGAGGATTGTAAAAGCAGGCTGGTGAGGAGCTCACACGAGCTGGACAAGGCTGCCCTCTGCTGATAGGAAATTCCAGTTTTGTCAGTCACTTACCACTGCCGGAGCGTTCACCACCGAGAGATTGTAGCCGTAAAGAAAAGACGACCCAAAAGCACCAGTTAAAGAGGCTACGATAAGACTCCCAGACCAATTCTGAAAAACAAAGAAAAGATGCAACCATTATTAGTATACTTTAACGTAACTCAGGTTTTAAATGCTCCTTACGCCCTCTTGCATATCTCCTGCAGGCAGATCTCGCTGCAGAACAGTGGCCTGAAACATTTCCCCTTGCCGCAACCCAAGGAATAGTTAATTGGAAGTGACAGCACCTCAGTTAACATTTACCGAGGCATAAGTGAACATTTGAACTTCTTTCAACCTCACAGATTTTTTTGCTGCAAGCATCCCATCAGCCCCCACACCAAAAAAGTAAAATGCTGGAGAAGCGTGCTCTCGGCAAAGGACACTGTTGGCCACACGCCATTAATGCAACAAAGCAAGGAGTAGTGTGTCTTTGACACAACAGGTCTATGGGTAGACCTGACTTAGGTGAAAGCCTGGGAGATGGTGTGACCCCACTCCCATGAGTGTAAGGATTAGTGAAACTGTGACCCCCAAAAAATCAAATTATGGCTACAAACTAGGTCTTGTAACCCAAATGTGAGTTTCCAACAGTAATTTACTGCCACACATGCACACTCTGCTGGAGACACCATTTGCCCTTTTTCCTCAGCAACACACCTGTATCCCTCTTCTCAGCTCTTCTCCCTTCATCCCCCTCATCCTGTTTCTAGCCCACCTCTGCTAACAATTTCTTCTTACACATCACCCGTTGAAAAAAAGTTATCACTGCTTCAATACTGGACTTCCACTCAGGTTTTCTTCTTACACATCACCCGTTGAAAAAAAAGTTATCACTGCTTCGATACTGGACTTTCACTCAGGCGATTTGATAGGTTTTGCATTTCAGGATCCTTTCCACCTTCCCCAGTACTACCTTCTGCCACTCACAGCGGCAGAAGTGACCATTGCCATTCCCAAGAGATGCTGAAGTTGGTGTTTTGGTGGTTGGTTGGTTGCTTGTGAGTGTCATTTTGTACATCACGGAAGACAAGTCAACTTTCTTGACTTCTGAATATGTTAAAGTGGGTGGCCTTTAACGTGTTTTGAATTTAGAAGAAACAAAAAAAAACAAACCTTCACTAAGAACCTAGAATCTCAGGCACAGCTCACTGTCTCATCACTCTCCGAAGCCTCAAAGAGAAAGACCTGCTAAAGCAGGCCTAATAAACTCAGCTTCAGTTATATCACTTCCAGCACACACCACAGGTTAATGAGTCAATACATTCCATCCGCTGCACAAAACCATACGCACAAAGCTTTGGAAAACGAAGATGTGGAGCACGAACTAGGTGGTGTGCAGCCAACACATGGCATAGCAGCAGCAATGATGCACCAGAATGAGCTCCACCAGCCTCAGGAGAGGCACGGCTGGGCAAGCAAACACACCATGGCTGTTGGGACGCTTCCACACCACCGTCACAGGCTTGCTTTGATGGGTGAAGAAGGGATGAAGTACTCGGGTGCCAGGGCAGGGACCGCAGCGTACAGCCCAGCCCAGCCTGCCTGGGGTCTGCCACGCTCCATGGCTGCCACTCCTGGGGGCTTAAAACACACCCCGTGGGCCAGCCAAGTGCTTTTAACTGCTTCCACATGATGTGGGAACTTCTTAGGAGATTACACAGTTCATTAACCAGCCTGTTTTCAGTCAAGTCGGGAGGAAGTGCATGGAGGGGGGACAGCGGGAAAAGCCCTGTGTAAGAAATACATCCCGTTGAGTTCATTACATAAGCCAAAGGCAATTTCTTATTATTAGCCAGCTTCTTAAAATGAACCTGCCACCCACACACAAAGCTTCGCACCATTGCTTTGGTAGCAAGAAGTAGACATTTTGACCCCAGGCTTTATTGAGCTTGTTGTGATAACACCTCTTACTACGTGCCCATTATTTCTCTGCTGTGCACACACCATGCTCCTACAGGTAGGAGGGACTTATCAGGGCGCTCCCAATGGGTTCACAAAAGATAAGCAAGGGTTAACAAGAGGTACACAGTGATCTTGATGCAATATTGCTAAAGGGCTCCGCTCCAACAGCCTTAGACCCATCAGAAAAATCCCGCAAACAAAATGATTTGGATCATACAGCCTAGCGTTTACTAAAAACTCCAATGAATGCTTGAACCTTTCAGCACAGGCAAATTAGATGCACGCGAGGCTAAGTGGAAGATAATGCAGGACAGCTCAGAAGTGCTGGCAAATTACAAAAGCCCACATCCACTTTATTTTCAAGTGTTGCAAACAGTTGGGTTTAGAGCCTACTTCAGTACCGAGAACTTTTCAAATACACAGCCTGCTGCAGAAAACCTCAGGCTTACTCGAGTCGGAGTTTTACAGTTCCTGGAACATGAACTTCAACTTCTCCATGACCTGTCTCCTCACACACTACTTTAAATATTTGCTCGGACTTCCGCAATGCCAGATAAAAGACGAAAGCACATTGAAGCAAGAATGCAAAAAAAAGAAATATATAACTGTTGCTCAGAAGAATATTAACCCTCTGACAACACTAACAAAAGAAAAGGGGGGAAGGAAAAAAAAAAAACAATGTGTTTCACAGTGACAGGGAAACACGAAGGCGGCCACGCCTCCCTCATAGGTGTTCCTTCCCCAGCACCCCTGTGCTCATGCGTGGCACAAGGGCAGGTAGGTGTGACTGTCACCACAGCAATAAGTGTGCACCAGGGAAAGTTTGGGTGTCAGTTCACAGCAAAGCCCTCCAGATACCTGGGAACTGCTCACGTGCCAGAGCCCGCATTTTCGGTCTCTCCACAGATCCCAGGGCACCAAACTCCGAAAGATGCTCTGCCCAGCTCCCATCCTTCAGCGTGGCATTTGTGTCGGCCACTACAAGCCTTAAATTGTCTCTTTGTTAAACGCGTGACAGTTTGCGTTTCAGTTTGCAAACGAAAACGTTCAGTTTAGAATAGCGTGTTTTGGTTAGTTAGTTACTTAGTTATAAACCCCTTCTCAGACTCAAAACACACCTGCACGTGCACACAAGGAAGTTTTAATGCTCTTAAACGGACACTGATAAGACTTTCTATTGATCCTGGGAACTTGGCTTTTGCAGCACTTTGCCCGACACCCTTAAAGAGATATAGTTTTAGGAAGGCGCTGAGTATGGGAGCTACCGGCCGGGAGAAGGGACGGACGGACGCTCCCGGCAGGTGCTCCCCATGGCACCCCGGCCCCTCAGCCTGGAGGGGGGGGACACACAAGGGGACCCTCCCGTCCTCTCCCCCCGGGCTCCCCCTTGCCCTGAGGACCTGCCGACAGGGGTGGTCTCCACCAATAGCGGTGAAAGCTTCTCGCCTTGTCCCCTTCCCACCGCGGGGGCGGCTGCTCCGCCGGTACGGGCGCTGCCCTCCGCCCGTCCTCTGGGTCCCGGCGGGGCAGCCGCCGGGATTTTTAGCTCTGCCCGCCGCCGGCCTCTCCCGCACCGCCAACCAACAACTTCCCCAGCCGGGAAGGGCTCGGCGCCGCCGCTCTGCAACCTGAGCTTCTGGGATAGGGGCGGGGGGGGTAGGGATCAGCGGGGAGACACCCCCTGAGGCCACC